CACAGCGCACGCCTCTCTCTGCCGCTCGGGTGGAGGGTCACCTGCAACAGCTGGGAAAGCGCCCAGGGCACGTGGGCTTCTGCCACCGAGGCCAAGCTGGGGTCCTGCGCGGACCCCAGGACAGGGCAGTCACCAGGCTGTTGCCTCGCCGTCAGGCAGGCTCCCTGGCCCGCAGGGCCGGGTGGAAACCACAGCCAAGATCTTTAACAAGGCGGGGCAGTCATGGCTGCGCTGTGGGGAACGGACGGAGGAGGAGCAATGGCCAGGCCCTGGTGGGCGGCCTGCGGATGCGAGTCCGCTCGCAAGGCCAGGCCTTCCTGGATGACCCGAGCAGTACACGGCCGCCTCTACAGAGGAAACCCCCTGAGGACCATCTTGTGAAGATCCCTGACGCCTCTCTGAGAAATCGGGGAGTTACTCTGCAGCCCAGGGAGCCCCTGGAGGTTACACGGAGAAGGTTTAATGTCTCGGCCTTGGCTTTAGGTTTCTCCCACAACAATCATGACTGCAAACAGCCCAGGGCGCAGTGGGTTGTGACAGCCGAGTAGAAGGGCAGCAGTATTATGGGGGTGGCAGGAAGGAGGGAGAGCCTACACCCCAGTGTTTCAGAGCAAAAGCAAAAGGATGACACTTCGAACTTCCGATTCCAACATGGCATAGAAAGGTCTCTCCATTTCTCTCTCACTCTGACACACACACAGACCTGGATCAAAAATTCGGAGAACAATATTACTTTAAGCACCTGCACACTGATCTGTTCTATTCTAACTTATTTTATTTAACAAAACAAAACAGAACAAAACCAAACACTGGCTGCAACTCATGGAAGGGATTTCACAACCTACCAGCCCACTGGGTCTCTCGGTTTGAGAAGAGGACAGGGGCCTTCCTCCGGCACCTTCTGTGCTTACCTACTGTTCCTACTACTGAATGAGCCGAGTGTGGGTGCCACTGAAGGTCGGTGCCTTAGGCGCTGAGATTCTTTTATTTTCGAGAGATTTTTTGCTATAGGGCATGTACACTCACCAGAGACACAGAAACTGAGAGACAGAAATCTGGAAATCATCCTCCAGGGAAGATAGCCACATTGCAATCCCATCTCCATTCACTTCTTGGGATTTTGAGCATGCAGGCACACGCGCCCAGCCTGAATTTCAAGCCACTGAGTCCAGGACTTGAATCGCAGCTGGCCGTGTTGGGAGTCTAGCACCTTAACCTTTATGCCACCTGCTGGTCCCAGAGGTTGGGATTTTATTCAAGCTGATCCTCATATTACAGATTGACTGACAGACTACTGCTTTCAAGGTAACAAAATTGGAGAATTTAGAAAATACTTAGATTCCATAAGTTAAGGTCCAGTAGAAGAACAACAAAGTGTATTTTACATTGGATAGCTAAAAAGGAACCACAAAATAAAACCACCTACCTACACATGCACACACATACATGTATGCATACACATAGCAATGGAAGCTGTCACGCACACACAAAATAAAGAGCTATTTTCTTTTAAAAAATAATTACTCGTATCTCTTGTGATATGAAACATGTACAGCTCATTTGTAACATTAACCTTACATTCTACTATGTCGCTCTGTCAGTGGGAGACTCGCATGGCTGTGATCACCAGCATTCTCCACCCAGTGCCTCATGGATGTTTTTAGAAATCAGGATTTAGCTCTCGATTTTCAAGGGAGTATTGGTTTTGAGCTTTTTATTTAGTTTGCAGTCGTGTTTGCAGACATTCTGTCACAACTAACTCTGTGTTCAACTGATTTCTGTGTTTTTGAATTTTATTTTAATTGCTTCTTTTTTGGGGGGGAGAGATTTTTTTTCACTATAGGGTGCGTGTGCTCACCAGACAGACAGAGAGAGACATAGAGACAGAAAGCGAGAAATCACCCCCCAGGGGAGATGGTCACGCAGCAATCCCTTCTCCTCCATTCTCCTCTTGGGATCTTGGGCACGCACGCACATGTGCCCAGTGTGAGTTTTAAGCCGCGGTCGACTACGTGGGAGTCCAGCGACATAGCCATTACGCTAACTGCTGGTTCCCTTGATTGCTTCTTGTTCCGCTATTAAGTAGTTTCGTATAAAGGATGTGTGGCTAAGTCTATGTTTTGTAAAGGTTGTCTCTTGAAGTATCCAAAAGTCATCAAGGCTCAGTGGAGTACCCAGTGCAGGTATGAAGCTGTTCCAGGGCTGAGGAACATAGAAAAACACATTTTAAATGAAATATAAAAGCATTATTTGGAGCTAACATCTAAAATGCAATGGCAGCAGTTAAGAAGGGCCTGCATCCAAGACAAAAACCTGTCCAGGATCTCAAGCCAGGTGGTCGCCAAGAGGGGCTGGTGCAGGGAGAGTGTCCGACCTGTGGGGTCACAGGAACCTGTGTGGCTTGTTTGGCAGGTTGCTGTGGCTCCTTTGCCAATGGAGCATCTTCAAGAGCCTTGGGCAGCTTCTTATAGGACAGAGGAACTAAGCTCAAGGACCCCATTTACTTAGACCCCCGACCCTCAGGAAGAACCTTTTAAGTAGCTGGAAAACACCTGGCAGGGGAGTCCCCTGGCTGTCCTCATGACCTCCCGCACACAGAAACTGAGAGACAGAAATCTGGAAATCATCCTCCAGGGAAGATAGCCACATTGCAATCCCATCTCCATTCACTTCTTGGGATTTTGAGCATGCAGGCACACGCGCCCAGCCTGAATTTCAAGCCACTGAGTCCAGGACTTGAATCGCAGCTGGCCGTGTTGGGAGTCTAGCACCTTAACCTTTATGCCACCTGCTGGTCCCAGAGGTTGGGATTTTATTCAAGCTGATCCTCATATTACAGATTGACTGACAGACTACTGCTTTCAAGGTAACAAAATTGGAGAATTTAGAAAATACTTAGATTCCATAAGTTAAGGTCCAGTAGAAGAACAACAAAGTGTATTTTACATTGGATAGCTAAAAAGGAACCACAAAATAAAACCACCTACCTACACATGCACACACATACATGTATGCATACACATAGCAATGGAAGCTGTCACGCACACACAAAATAAAGAGCTATTTTCTTTTAAAAAATAATTACTCGTATCTCTTGTGATATGAAACATGTACAGCTCATTTGTAACATTAACCTTACATTCTACTATGTCGCTCTGTCAGTGGGAGACTCGCATGGCTGTGATCACCAGCATTCTCCACCCAGTGCCTCATGGATGTTTTTAGAAATCAGGATTTAGCTCTCGATTTTCAAGGGAGTATTGGTTTTGAGCTTTTTATTTAGTTTGCAGTCGTGTTTGCAGACATTCTGTCACAACTAACTCTGTGTTCAACTGATTTCTGTGTTTTTGAATTTTATTTTAATTGCTTCTTTTTTGGGGGGGAGAGATTTTTTTTCACTATAGGGTGCGTGTGCTCACCAGACAGACAGAGAGAGACATAGAGACAGAAAGCGAGAAATCACCCCCCAGGGGAGATGGTCACGCAGCAATCCCTTCTCCTCCATTCTCCTCTTGGGATCTTGGGCACGCACGCACATGTGCCCAGTGTGAGTTTTAAGCCGCGGTCGACTACGTGGGAGTCCAGCGACATAGCCATTACGCTAACTGCTGGTTCCCTTGATTGCTTCTTGTTCCGCTATTAAGTAGTTTCGTATAAAGGATGTGTGGCTAAGTCTATGTTTTGTAAAGGTTGTCTCTTGAAGTATCCAAAAGTCATCAAGGCTCAGTGGAGTACCCAGTGCAGGTATGAAGCTGTTCCAGGGCTGAGGAACATAGAAAAACACATTTTAAATGAAATATAAAAGCATTATTTGGAGCTAACATCTAAAATGCAATGGCAGCAGTTAAGAAGGGCCTGCATCCAAGACAAAAACCTGTCCAGGATCTCAAGCCAGGTGGTCGCCAAGAGGGGCTGGTGCAGGGAGAGTGTCCGACCTGTGGGGTCACAGGAACCTGTGTGGCTTGTTTGGCAGGTTGCTGTGGCTCCTTTGCCAATGGAGCATCTTCAAGAGCCTTGGGCAGCTTCTTATAGGACAGAGGAACTAAGCTCAAGGACCCCATTTACTTAGACCCCCGACCCTCAGGAAGAACCTTTTAAGTAGCTGGAAAACACCTGGCAGGGGAGTCCCCTGGCTGTCCTCATGACCTCCAGCCTCTCTGATCAGCTGTGTGTGTAGGTAAAGACACACCCCCACCTTGAACCATGTCTTAATTTGTGATTGGCTAATCTGGTGTGACTAATGAATGCTAACCCTGCAGACTGATGGCTAGAACAAGTCAGAGCGGCTCATTGCTGGGTCATGGGAAGGCTGATGAGCCAGTCTGGAAGGCAGGAAAATAAGCTGTAGAATTCGCGGTGACTCCTGTTCTGTTGTAATCTAGAATGTGGACTACTCAGGAGGAAGCACGTACGTGTCCTCATATGGGAGGACAGCCTCAGTGGGAGCTGCTTGTCTCCTCCGTCCTTGCCAGCTCTTCCCCCTGCAGCCTGAATGAGAGTCCGGAGGTGAGGCAGGTGACTGAGGAGGTGAAAGCTGGTAGGGAGATGTGGGCGTGGGGAGGAGATCTCTGTCCTGGCAGCTCCCGACAAAGCAGTCTAGCTTTCCTGCTAACAGAAAATCCGGGCTCTTTCTGGGTAACCCACTGTCTCGTTATTAACAGACCACAGCAGGCTGGGAACTTTGTGAAAAATGGCGTTACTGGGCCTCTGGTTCTGCAGGTTCACATCTGAGGGCCCGTCCTACTGGAAGGGACTGGTGGAGTTCCAAGGGTGTGGGGCATCACAGGGCCAGAGGTCAGGTGGGGTCTGTGCTCTCGCACTTCCTATAAAGCCGCTAGCATCCTGTCACGGGCCCTGTTGATTTCTGACTGCCTCCCGAAGGCCCACCTTTCAGTACCACAGTTGGATTAACTCTCTCTCCTCTCAATATGGTCATGAAAACAATCAAATTTCTAAGGTGGGGGATGCGCATCAAACCAAGCCAGGGGTTTCTATGAAATGCGTATAGGTCCTTGTCGGGGTGGTCCTCTGCGGGCTCACATGGACATCATGAAGCTGAGGTGTGTCCTGTCACACCCACCACTGAGTCCCCCCCTGCAGCACTGGTGCGCACTGTGAGCAGGCATAGAGCTGCATCTAGGCCTTCAGTTATCACACAGGACGAAACGGCACATGCAGGGCTCACTCGGCACTGCCCACGGTTCCAGGCTGAGGCAAGCATTTGGAAAACAGTGGCCACAGTCACATTCAGGTAGGTTTAAAGAAAGACCTGCCTGGGGACCAGCAGTTAGTGTAATGGCTATGTCACTGGACTACGATGTAGTCTACCGTGGTTCGAGTACCAAACCCGGTGGCTTAAACTCACTCTGGGTGTGTGTACGTGCATGCCCAAGATCCTGAGAGGAGAGGAGAATGGAAGAGAAGGGATTGCGGCGTGGCCATTCCCCCTGGGGGGGGGGGGATTTCTCACATGAAACCAGTCTGGAAGGGGAGCCTGGTAGCAGACAGGGGCCAGGAAGAAGCAGGCAGGGGTGTGATATCCCTATAATCCCTGGATAGCTCTGCTAACTAGGGGTGTGGCCTCCAATGTTCTAACCTTTCATTCAGGAGGCTCCCTGGGGCTGCAGTGGTGTGGTCCTTCCCCTCCCCAGCTTTGCTCTCAGCAGTTTTGGCCCCCTGAAGAGAGCCATGGTCTGAAATAGCGAGTACAATACAGTAAGATATTCCAAGAGAAAGAGAATCACAGACAGAGACCAGTTTCGAGAACTTTTACTATGGTCTATTGTCATAATTGTTTTACTTTATGACAGTTATTAGTCACTCACTGTGCTTAATGTATAAATTAAAATTTATTATAGGTATGTATATTTAGGGGGAAAAAACCATAGTATATTGTAGGGAGCAGCCCCAATCTGAGCAGACACGATGGGGACTTTTAGCACATGCAGAAACGTGGTTCTATAGGCTGTCGTTTGCAAGGTTAAATGAACACCATTAACATGAATATGCTATCTACCTCTGGGTTTGTAACTGCAAAGCAGTATCAGTTAAAGGAAGCCACATGTGTTAATCAGAAAAGGCCCAACAAGGTAAGAGAAACCTTACATAGAACTACATAGTGCCAGATGTCTTTGCATCCTCAGACAATTAACACTGAAACAACTGGCTTTGCATTCATTCATTCTCTCTCTCTCTCTCTCTCTCTCTCTCTCTTTCTCCTTCTCTCTCTCCTCCAGAGAAAAAGAGAGAAAACCACCAACTGTCGCCATGATCCCAGCCTTCCGAAAGTATTAGACTACAGGCACGCCTGTGCCTTCTATGCTTGGATAAGTCTCAGGACTCGAACTGTGCACCTTCTCAAGGAGGGGGGCTGCCTTGCAGAGGTGAATTTTACCCTGTGCCCCCGCCTGGTCTCCCCACTGAGTCTCAGCACCTGCAGGTATACATCATCTCAGAAACACAAAGGGCTGGGGGGTCCTGACTCTCCCTCCAGGTAGTCACACTGACCCACACCAGCTTCACCAGCTCGCACCCACAGTGAGGGTGCTGATGAAGATCCTCAAGGAGGGACAGGGACTTGGGACAGTTCAAAGGAAGAGAAGGAGGACAAGGACAGGGCATGTGGTTCCTCACTAAGGTGGAGGAAATAGAGAGCTTCGGCTTTATTCATGAACAGGAAGCCCTCTTCCCCCGACTCGGTGGTCCACTGTGTCACAGGTTTCTTCTCTCCCCTTTAACCGTAAAGAGCCTGAAGGCAAAATGACTTGGACTGAGAGCACCCAATCTCCCCTCTGGAGGCCTGGCACAGCTATGAAACGGGAAGTCGGGTCCCTTCTTTCCCAAACCTCCTTAGGCCTACTCCTTTAGTTCAGGCACATGCTACTAGGCGCTGTCCCCCCAGTGCAGGAGGAAATCAGAAACATCCCCAGATGCCTGCCACCCCCAGAGCACTGAGCCCTGCACACTGGGTCTCCACACGTGGCACCTGAGGCAAACAGCAGGCAGCAAGACAACTCCAGAGAGCCAGCGATGTGGCCTGGTCTTTGAGTTTCAGACTGCGCCTACTCACTCACCTTCTGTCCGCCCTCAGCCCGCCTCAGGAGAGCAGCTGCAGAACGGGAAACCATTGTCTTGCAGGTGTCCTATGCGCCATTTTTACTCGCACAGTCATGAAAGAGAAATGCTATTTTTGCAGACATTAACAACCACTTGGACTCACACACACACACACACACACACACACACACACACGTGGCAGTTTGGAAGGAGAAAAGCAAAATAAAGACACAGAACACTGAACAATGGGTCCCATCACAGCCCAGAAAGGAAAATCCCAACTCTCTGACCCTGTTTTCTCAAATACAGAGAGAATCTGAATTCTCAAACATACACAAGAATAGGAAATGAGCCAGATTTACTTTCCTGGCCCCTGACTACTCCCTTAATGATGTGATCATAAACCTACAGCTCAGTTCACCACCACTGCTTGCAAGGATCAGGAGGAGGACCAGAACCGGAAACACTCGGGCAAGAATAAAACTTTAGCATGAATAGGCCAAAGGAATAGTGAAAAAAAAATTACAGAAAAAAATGCTGAAGGACTCTGGAAATCTCGGAATTTGATTTTGGACCACGTGTGAAAGAACCCCTGCCCTGAATATGCACCTTCATCACTTCAGCACGGCCCTTTCTCCTAGGAACGTGTCCGGGAGTCAGCCGAAAGTGGATCTAGATTCCTGTTCAGAGGCCGGACCAAGACAGGCCTTAGTCCATTGCTGTTTTCAGGTGTCAAAGAAAACTGCAGGTTTAAGATGCCAGGTCTGTATAACTTGAAGCACAAGATGTTTTATCTAAAATGGTGGAAATGTTTTTAAGTAACTTATTTCACTTTCTCACATTCTTATCTAAGGCCAACGTCATTCCCAGATGGTGGAAAGACGTGCTGACCCTGGAACAAGTCGGGGAAAGTGCTTTTCTCACCTGAAAAATAAGGGACCTGCAATCAAGTCCACACACCTGCAGCTGTCAAATTCTAGTTTACAGGACAAGCTTAGTGGATTCTGTCCTCTATCCTCAACTCACACCATGACTTGTATTCAGTTCTATCCAGTGAACACAACTTACCCAATACTTCGAGCTCACCTCTCAAGGGTCTGCTTCTCAACCACAAATGTCTTTACCAGCCCCCAAACTGGTTGCTAAAGCAGGACAGTTACTGCAGCCTGAGCACTAACACCAGAAAAAAAACCTTTGATGTTAACCATGCAAGCCCACTACAAAAAAGGAACAGGAACAAACCACATTTGAGCCATAAGACCACATGCTGTAACTTGGCCCATCTTCACAAAAACTTTGCTCCATATTTTAAGCTCCAGTTCAATGCTGGCCCAATCCTCGTCAATTTTCTTTTTTTTTTTGCAAGGACACAGCTCTCCTTTTGCACACGTGGGTGGCTCTGAAAAGAGCCTTTGGTTGACATCAGTAGAAGCTGTTTACTTGGAACTGGTGTACTTGGTGACGGCCTTGGTGCCCTCGGACACGGCGTGCTTGGCCAGCTCCCCGGGCAGCAGCAGGCGCACGGCCGTCTGGATCTCCCGCGACGTGATGGTCGAGCGCTTGTTGTAGTGCGCCAGGCGCGACGCCTCGCCCGCGATGCGCTCGAAGATGTCGTTGACGAACGAGTTCATGATGCCCATGGCCTTGGACGAGATGCCCGTGTCGGGGTGCACCTGCTTCAGCACCTTGTACACGTACACCGAGTAGCTCTCCTTGCGGCTGCGCTTGCGCTTCTTGCCGTCCTTCTTCTGCGCCTTGGTCACCGCCTTCTTGGAGCCCTTCTTCGGGGCCGGCGCCGACTTCGCTGGCTCAGGCATACTGAAGCTTCTGTACTCTAGAAACCAGAATGAGGCGAGGACGCACAGTTCTGATACTTATAGGGCCTTTATGCTAATGAGGGATTCAGAGTATGTCTCTGTTAATTGGAAGAAAAACTGAAGTTATCATCCATGGGCAGAACTATGCAAATTAGGTATGAAAACCAAGCTCTTCAATTGGCCACTTTTTGACTCTGTCTATCAGCCAATCAGACCGTCGAATTTACTACCCAGAAAATGTCTATAAAAGCGGCCGCATTTTGTGTACTTTACGACTCTGTTTTTGTAGACCTGACTTTGTGTTTTACTTTGTTGGGTGTTTATTTTGGTTAGCTATGTCCGGTCGCGGTAAGCAGGGCGGCAAGGCGCGTGCCAAAGCTAAGTCTCGCTCGTCGCGGGCCGGGCTGCAGTTCCCGGTGGGCCGCGTGCACCGCCTGCTGCGCAAGGGTAACTACGCATCCCGCGCCACCTGCAGCTGGCCATCCGCAACGACGAGGAGCTCAACAAGCTGCTGGGCAAGGTGACGATCGCGCAGGGCGGCGTCCTGCCCAACATCCAGGCCGTGCTGCTGCCCAAGAAGACCGAGAGCCACCACAAGGCCAAGGGCAAATAACTTAACCAGCACGGACCTCCCGGAAACGCTAATTAACCCCAAAGGCTCTTTTCAGAGCCCCCACCCTTTCAAACGGAGAGCTTAAGTCACTACGCACGGTGAAGTGTTGGTCCCTGGTAGCCTCCTGCTTTCGGTTTCTGGAAATGGGCGAGGGTCGCAGCGGGCTTACCTGCGGAAGTGTGGTAAGTTAATAGTGTAGTAGTAAATCGATACTCCTGCAGGCGCTGTAGGTAGCACCGACTCGCGGCAGAGGAGCCCCGCAGTAGGGGGTCACGCAAGCGTCCTCGGGGACGAACTTCCGAGCGCGGCCATTACGCCGCTGTGCTGTCTCCTGTCCGCCCTTTTCCGTGTAATGTAGGGCGCAATCTGCTGGCTGTACTGGTTCTAAGTCCTAGGACCCTTGCACGCTGCTGTTAAAATACGGGCTTAAAATACGGGCTGTGCTTTCACCTGAATCTTTGAAAGGGGCTTCAGGAAGACGTGGGGTTGGTGTGAGAGCACAACGTGGCTGGAAGTGCAGCGCTTCCATAGACCGATTGCGAGTTTGGGGCCAAGTTTTGGCGCCTGGGCCTCACTTCCGCCCCCTGGAGGTTGGGTGCGTATCATGCCAATTTTAGTAAACCTGCATGCGGCCACCTAAGCAAGGCTGGCGTTGTGCACACCACAGTTCACGCGGTCACTCGCATAGGCTCCACTGCACAGCTTCCCCACCCTATTAATGTGACTCCAACAGGGGGCATCAGAAGAAGCGGCCCTCTGATGGCGCAGAAGGCCCAGGGCACTCTCCTAGGCTCATGCTTTACCAGGTTTCTTTGGATGAGCGGCTCTGCCTGGGTGGGGCCTGGGTGCAGAGGGTGCCGGATGGCCCGTGGGGCCGGGGCTGGGTGCAGAGGGTGCCGGATGGCCCGTGGGGCCGGGGCTGGGTGCAGAGGGTGCCAGATGGCCCGTGGGGCTGGGACCTGGATGCAGTGGGTCCCGGATGGCCCGTGGGGCCGGAGCCTGGGTGCAGAGGGTGCCGGATGGCCCGTGGGGCCGGGGCCAGGGTGCAGAGGGTGCTGGATGGCCCGTGGGCCCGGGGCCTGGGTGCAGAGGGTGCCCAGACACCTCCCCTGCAGCCATCGTTAAAGGCTCCTGACATCCCACCAAGCGCCCTGCCTGCCACCCTGTCACGGAGGCCCAAGTCCCAGCGCCTGTCTGAAGTAAAACTGAAACACAAAGACTGACAGTTCAAGCAGCCAGCCGGAGTGGTGCCGCCCAGGGTGCCCATCTGACGCTGCGCTGAGGTCTTAGGCAGCCTCTTCCCCGCTCACGGGAGACGTGACTCCAGGAGCTTGTTGAAGGCCAAGTGGTGCAAACCCTTGTGGCCACTGCGATGTCCACGCTTTGTCAGAGCAAGTCCAGTGGGCAGCTGGGCTGACCATCATCGGTTTGGGCACGATGGCACCTCACCATTTGGTGGCTGCAGTGCCGGTGAGGACCGAAATTCTTGGTGCCCAGCAGGTCCTGGAAGTCGGAGAACTCTGCCCTTGGGTCTGAATGGCTCCGGTAATCGCAGACAAGTGTGAAAATGGCAGTGAGGTAGAACAGCTACGGGACTTGATAAACATGTATTCTGGTGAGAAAGGGAGATTGAGAAGACCAGTTCGAACTCTTTCCTCTGGTCTCTAGGCACGAAATCGTGTATTTGGTGATGGAGAAGTGAGTGGTGCTTTGTGTTGGGGTCCTCAACCTTGAGGTTTCTGCCCTTTAGCAAGTCTGCCGTGGGGTGGGAGCCCCAGCTCGCTCGCTGTCAGTCGGCGGTGTGGACGCTGGTCCGGCAGGAGCTGAGCCAGTGCTCGGCAGAGTGAGTCTGGAAGTCAGCTCATGACCAGGAGAGGACCAAGTCCAACGAGGCTGGTGGACGCTAACAGCATCTTCTTGTTCCAGTAGGAAACAGCTTCGGAAAATCCAGTGTGCCCTGCAGTGTGGGGAGCAGAAAGAACCCCGAGAGGCTGCAGTCGACCAGCGCCTACCTGAGAGGTAAGGGGACCTGCTTCAAGGACGACCACCACGATGGCACCAGGCCCTGTGGCCCTCCACCCTGACATGCTACTGTCTAGACCCTAAGCCCTCCTTACTCCTGGGACACTCCCCCCAGTGGTGACAAACTCAGTCGCTTGGCTCCCAGTCCTGGAGCAGGTCCCCACCTGCCTGCACCCAAGGTCCCGGGAGGAAGGTACTGATTGCGGCAAGGTGCCCAGTGCCAGACCCAGGCCTCCCGATCTCTGCGGCACCAGCCACTGGGACAGGTCGTCTGCGAATCTCCTGGATGTGAGGCTGAGAGGGTGTTGTCACCTGGTATATGTAGTATTTGTACATATGTGTGTGCAGATTAAGTGTAGTATATGTATATATGTGTGTGCAGATTAAGTGTAGTATATGTGCGTGTGTGTGTGCAGATTAAGTGTAGTATATGTGCGTGTGTGCAGATTAAGTGTAGTATGTATGTCTGGGTGCAGATTAAGTGTAGTATATATGTGTGTGCAGATTAAGTGTAGTATATATGTGTGTGTGTGTGCAGATTAAGTGTAGTATATATATGTGTGTGTGCAGATTAAGTGTAGTATATATATATGTGCGTGTGTGCAGATTAAGTGTAGTATATATATATGTGCGTGTGTGCAGATTAAGTGTAGTATATATATGTGTGTGTTCAGATTAAGTGTAGTATATATATATATGTGTGTGTGTGTGCAGATTAAGTGTAGTATATATATGTGTGCGTGTGCAGATTAAGTGTAGTATATATATGTGTGCGTGTGCAGATTAAGTGTAGTATATATATATGTGTGTGTGTGCAGATTAAGTGTAGTATATATATATGTGTGTGTGTGCAGATTAAGTGTAGTATATATATATGTGTGTGTGTGTGCAGATTAAGTGTAGTATATATATGTGTGTGTGTGCAGAGTAAGTGTAGTATATATATGTGTGCGTGTGCAGATTAAGTGTAGTATATATATGTGTGTGTGTGCAGATTATGTGTAGTATATATATATGTGTGTGTGTGCAGATTAAGTGTAGTATATATATGTGTGTGTGTGCAGATTAAGTGTAGTATATATATGTGTGCGTGTGCAGATTAAGTGTAGTATATATATGTGTGCGTGTGCAGATTAAGTGTAGTATATATATATGTGTGTGTGTGCAGATTAAGTGTAGTATATATATGTGTGTGTGTGCAGATTAAGTGTAGTATATATATATGTGTGTGTGTGTGTGTGTGCAGATTAAGTGTAGTATATATACGTGTGTGTGTGCAGATTAAGTGTAGTATATATGTGTGCGTGTGTGCAGATTAAGTGTAGTATATATATGTGCATGTATGCAGATTAAGTGTAGTATATATATATATATGTGCGTGTGCAGATTAAGTGTAATATATATATATATGCAGATTAAGGTAAGATACAGCTTGCCTTCTCAGGGGTAGAACAGATTGATCTGAACTTATCATTGTAAATTTACATATCCCTGTTGGGTATAATGCGTGTGTGTTAGAAGATTGTCTGGAATTTAGTGAGTAAGAGCCCATGCGGAGCCTCAGGACTCCCTCTCTCTCTTTTTCTCAATATCAAGACATTGTACCAGCCACGTCGGATCAGCAGCGTGAGCAAACCCCGCGGGACATGCACCGCTCTCTTCCCACCTAGGACAGACCCTGCTTTACGGCGAGCCCAGCCACTGGATGGCCGTCTGAAAGCCTGTGGGAACTCTCCGGGCTTCGCTATGTCGGCGGAGCTGGAGTCGGGACAGGCTGAGGGAACTGACAGCTCTCCGGCTTCCAGGCTTAGCCACCATGTCGTAGTTGAGGTTCTTTCTGAAAGAAGCAAGGCCGAGGCTCCAGGCCTGCTCTGTGCGTTGGCCGCCAGCGGCCGGCGCCTTCTGCTGGGACTGCCGTAGTGAAACCCTGCAGCCCGCACGGCTTCAGAGACAGATCCATCTTCTCGCCGTTCTGGATCCCAGAAGACTAAGACCAAGGTGCCCAAAGGTGTTCCTGTAGAGGCGATTTTCCTAGCTTAGATCCTGGCACCTCCCTGCGTGGGCCCAAGCGCGTGCAGAGAGCTCTGGGGTCCTACTCTTATGAAGGAACCTGCCCTGTGGGATCGAGACCCCATCCTTTCCACTTCGTTTGACCTGTCACCATCATAACGCCGTCTCCATGCAGACGTGGTGGGGTTCAGATCTGCACGGCTGATCAGGAATTTGGGAAGACAGAATTCAACCCATGGTACCTCCTCCTCCTCCCATACAAACACCTTCATTCCATCGCAGCAGCCCTGAGGCCTTGAACTCATGCTAACATCATCCTAAGGTCAAAAGCCCAAAGTGTCATCTAAAGACTTCTAAAAAAGGCATGGGTGGGACACAAGTCCATTCAC